AATATATAAGAAATAAGCATATATAATATAATATAGGCTAATATATATCAATGAAACAACATATTAATATACAATATACATAATATCATAATAATATATAGATATATATATAAAGGGTAAAAAGTATATAATAGTAATATAAGTAATACGAGTATAGGGGGGTATACATATATATATAATACATATTATATATAATAGTATTATATAGTATTATTTATATAATACTATAAGTATAGAGGTACAAATAAAAAAGGACACCGCAGTATGGTGTGGTAGGTGGGTATATGTAGTTATGTAAATATATTATAAAAATATAGGTATAGTATAAGTAAATAAGTATATATAATGTAGGTATATATAAGAGAGGACAGCCATGTATATGATAATTATATGTTAATAGGTATAAGTATATAAATAAGATGAATAATGATAAGTAAGTATAATGATATAATATAAAATATTGGTAAGGTATAGGGTGGTGGTAATGGTGGTGTATATTATGGGTATAGTGGTATGATATATGTGGTGTGGTGGTGTGTGTGTGGTGTGGGTGTGTGTGGGTGTGGTGTGTGTGTGGTGTGTGTGTTGTGTGGTTGTGTGTGTGTGTGTGGTGTGTTGTGTTTGTGTGAGTGTGTGTGTGTGTGTGTGTGTTGTGTGTAGTGGTGTGTGGTGGATTGGTGAGTGTGTAGTGTGATGTGGGGTAGAGTGTGTGATATGATAGATATACATACATACAGATATATAAGTAACTATTATATATATATATAATAAATAGTATATACTATAATAAGTAGTATATATATATGGGTATAGTATATATATACGATAAATAGTTGTATAAAGTATAAGAAATAGTATAGTAAATTGATAATACATAATATAATATAATATATATAGGTATTGTAGTAAAGGACATATAGCAGTATAGTAAGTATATATAGTAGTATAATAATGAGTAGTAATAGGTAGTATATATATATATATATATATATAGAGTAAAGAGTAATATAGAGTAAAGAAATAGGGAGAGAGAGAGAGAGGAGGATGAGGAGAGGAGAGAAGAGAAGGAGGAGCAGTAAGGTAAAATAGATAAGAGATAGGCAGAAGTAAGAGAAAGCACAATAATGAGAATATAATAGCTAATATATATCAATATAGTAAGGTATATATAGGAGTATATAAAGTATAAAGGAAGTAATAAAGGAGATGAGGATATATATGTAATAGAGATAATGAGATGAAGAGTACAGCACACACACACACACACGGGATATAATAATGAAGTAAGTGATAAGAAGATAGAAGTAAAGAGAGTAATTATATAATATATAGTAAGGAATAAGACACACGCGAAATGTGGTAGTATAGATATAAGTAGAAGATAGAGTATATATATATATATAGATATTATATAGAGACAAGTAAGGTATACAAGGTAATGAGTCATATGATGATAGAAGACATAATATATATATATAATAAAGCATATATAACAGAGTATAATGAGAGTATATAAGAGGGGAGGTATACTATATAAAATATAAGTAAGAGTAGTAAGTAAGATTATAAGGGATATGTATCAAATATATAAGAGACAGCACGACCTGATTTGGTATAGATAGTAAGGTAGAAGGTATATATAGATAGTATATAGGTATATAATAAATATATATATATTAATAGGAGGGAGTAATAGGTAGAAGAAGGGGTATGTTGTGTGGGTAGGGTGTAGTGATGAGTAGGAGTAGAAGAAGGTATATAAGTATGATAGAGATAATAAATGAGTAGTAATGAGAAAAGAAGTAGGAAGTAAGTAAATATAGAGATAGTAAGTAGAGTGATGTATATAGTAAAAGAACATAATATATATATGAATAAGATTACAGAGAATAAGTAATAGAAGGTAGTAGTAAGAGATAAAGTATGTAAGACCACCGGATGATAAGTAAATAGGTATATAGGAAGTAATAGGGATAATTATGTGTGTGGTGTTGTGTGTATTGGGTGTGGTGGTAGGTAGGGTGATTAGGTGGTGTGTGGTGGTAACGCGTGGTGTGTGTGTGGTGTGTGTGGTGTGTGGTGTGGTGTGTGTGTGTGTGTGGTGTGTGTGTGTGTGTGTATGTATGTATATGAAGGCATATAAACAAACACTCCCCTTCAGCAGAGCCTTTTCAAGAAAGCATAAGGAAAAAACACTTTGAAGCACTCCTAAAGGTCATCTGAAATTCTGAAAATGTTGTTCATGGATCGCTGGTACTTTTAGCGTCTTTTCCATGATTGCAAGCGGTATCGGGAGGATACCGTGGGCGGAGCTTAAACGTGGGAGAGGGAGTGCATATATAAAGACCTGCGCCATCATCTCATCAGCTGGTCTGTAAATTCATCTTCATCGTGCGGACAGAGAGCGGTATTGGCTTATATGATCTAGAAAATAGAAAGCCATTTCATTAGAAAATAGAAAGCCATTTCATCAGAAAATAGAAAGCCATTTCATCATCATTATTATTGTTGTAATTACAAATGGATGAAGCTACGTTTTTTTTTTTTTTTTTTTTTTTTTAGAATACACCTGTAAATTTACACCTATAATAAATTTGCAAATCATTGAATCTATTTTTTTTTTCTCTCTCTCCTGAAGCTGATTATACAAAGGCATTCAAAAGGGTTGACTTGTGTCCTACTTGACATATTCTCAATGTATTCTTTAAGATCATTTTTCAGACCTGACTATAAGGAAATATTGCATGAACAATAATCCTTATCTAACATTTTTGTCATTCATGTTATCTACGAGACGCGTCGAAATTAAGCCTTTGCAATACTTTCTCAATTACTTTTTGATACGTCCGCGCTTATTATGTGATATGATGGGAAATAAAAAATATGATAATGGCATGTTAGTTATTATGCTTTTGGCATATCAACACATGTCAGGAAGGTCCTGTTTTATTTATTCTGCGCTGCTGAAGCCAAATCATTCACCAGCATCTACGTTCCGTTGCGCTGTGAATTACTTTTCAATTGATATTATTGAATGTGTATGTAAAGGAAGTATCAATATGCGTAAAAAGTAAAACAAACAAATAGACAGTGTAAAAATTACTCGAAACTTCTTTAATATATAACGCATCAAGCCTTTGCCGCCAACCGAACGAACGCAGGAGGATCTTGGTGGCGGGAAAATCCGTGTTGTTTGCCTAATGTACGCATACTCAACGTTGTAAATGCAATTAAATGTCATTAGACATGGTATTATTATTCTATTATTCTACTAGATCCCGTATCTTATAAAATAGATTTCAGGTTTAGAAAAAAAAAAAAAACATTTTGTGTAAAGTGTCTGCCGTTTACCTTTAATTTCCCTTCACCTGATGTTTGGCACGTTGCCTGAAGCGGCTCTCCAGATGAGACCGCGAAGGCTGTGATATTGCGGGTTCGGGTGTGACATAACTGCAAACACGCGGGAAAACGTCTTTTTTGGTTTACAGTGATCGTTGTAACGGAAATAATTCGACATGGGATCGAGATGGGCAGTACTGGCCGTCTGGGGTAGAATCAGCACGCAGCAATGAGCGTCAGGGATAACCTTACCCCGGTTTATATATATATATATATATATATATATATATATATATATATAATATATATATATATATATATATATATATATATATATGACACACACACACACACACACACACACACACACACACACATATATATATATATATATATAATATATATATATATATATATAATATATATATATATATATGTGTGTGTGTGTGTGTGTGTGTGTGTGTGTGTGTGTGTGTGTGTGTGTATACAATTCATGTGTATGTATGTATATGTAAATATATACATACATATACATACACACACATATACATATATATACACACATATATGTGAATACCTTTATATATAAACACACACGCGTTGCACTGTCCTGCCCTCCCCTGGCGAATGAGCGAAAGGCCTTCGGAAAGGGACTCCGGGCTCCCATTGCAGCTCCCTCCCGCAGCCTCCCTCCGCTGGCCCTGTCCCCGGGTGAGCGGCCGCCGGAGCTGCCTTTGCATTGAGATCCAGGCGCTCTGGAGGGGGACGCAGATACTCCATATGGGAAATGAATGCACCGATGCTCTCCATTTCTATGCTTATGTAAAAGAGAGAGACGAAAATAACGTTCGCTCGTTTTGAAGAATAGACCCATTAAGATTACATTCACTCATGATGATGGAAGCTGTGGATCTTTCTCTCTCCTTACATAACGGAATTACATCCGATAAAAGAGATTTAAGCTGATATTGTATTCGGATGGCACGTGTTCAGCAAATCCCCCAAACACGTTAATATGGAATCGCATTAAAACTTATACAGCTGCTTTACGTAAAGGTGTTTTGAGCAATAGTTGGATGGAATTATGTTACAAAATAGATTGATTACAGCAAGTATGTAGACTGCAGATAATTTGTATTGCATTTATACCAACATAGGCCTTGGAATTGTATTGTGAAAAAGTTCACATCAGCGATAATCTATATACAATTATGGTTTATTATATACGTAACAGATTTGGGATATAACATTATCATATCTTCAACCCCGATTAAATAATCCTATAGGCCTGTGTCTACCTCTATGACAGATTGGACTGTAGTCAGTATATAATAATAACCAAATCTTATCTATCAAAATTAGAATTGACATATATAATTCAGGTACATAGGCCTCCGTTCCTAGTTTGAAATATATTTTTTTTCATATTTCATCTTAGTATAGCATGTGTCCTAAGTTTGGGTATCGTAACATTACACCATCTTGTTCTTATCTTAAATGAACCATCGGTGAGTTTTCCTGTCAAGACATGGCGCTATGTTTTATGCAAAACTTTATCGAATTAGTCAAGTGCTCTTTTCAGGAAGCTCTAATAATATGTTCTTTTCAAAGTCTTTGCTTATTTCATGCTGATTTGTTAGATAACCAGCATAGCCGTGCCT